TATTCCATCAATACTTGATGTATTCTGCAGCACAAATTATAGGGATAAAGGTGTTTTAATAGTTTTTTTTCTCAGCATTAAGTGATCTTCCAGCTTACCAGACAGTCCTGTGTGCACATCTCTCTGACTCCTTGTTCATGTCTCTCAAAACTCAGCTGTGATGTCAGTGAGTGATTCTGCCAGCAGCTCTGTCCTTTGCACCCAGCCTTCTCTCCTATAATCTCTTGAGATGACAGAATCCTGAATTCATGGAACACAAATCAAGTACAATTTTTTGATTGAGTGGGATGAGGGGAAGCTATCCCGAGCCATAAGTGCCCTGATACCATGGCTTGTATCACTGCTGCCCTTTCAATCATATGGCCAACTCTGTTAGCCAGTACAAATAGAAGTATATTCAGGCTGTCCATTCAAGCTATCTGTAACAGTGTTTAAGACACATAGAAGAGTTTGTCACTGTTTGCTAGTAGTTGCTGCAAGTGGAACTCAGAAAATGAAGGGATTACAGAGGAGGAATTATAGGAACGTATTAAATTCTTTTTCTGTCCAGTTTTCTGTGGTTTCTGATGAACATAACACACAGTGTGCCCAGGACTCTGAGCTATGAATTCAGGTGAAGGTGGAAGTGAATGAGTACATGGATTGTCGTGGAAAGCACCACAAAGCCATCACGTATAACTGATGCAGATTTTTAAAGAGTTAAGCAGTTGCTCCCACTTTTAGACAAATGGAAAGGATACAATATTTCATGGTGACATGGCTGTAGGAACTGACTGTTGTCAGCTAGCACATTTTGCATAGATTAGCACCTAGTGTCGACAAAATTATATGTCCCTTAAAATTGCATTACTCAAAATACATGAATTAGCACGACCTAAAAAAGTAAAACTAAAATATAAACCCTCTTAGCACTTGTCCCAGTTTTCCTAGAACAGAATATTCCATTTCATACTGAGGGAAAATTATTCTTTGTCGATGAGTTATAATTGATGAATGTTTAGGAAAAAAAAAAAGAAATATCAGAGCTTCTGTAAAAAGAAAAAGGCTTTTTCTTTGGGGATAGTGCCAAAATAATGTCATTTTATATATGTAGGCTACATTTTGCTTAAGTAAGCTGGTCACAAGCTATCTTTTCTCTCCTTCCACAACTTATACATCTAAGGAGAAAAGATGTGTACTTTCAATCAGACCTTTATTTACTGTTGAAGACAAACATTTAGTTAATTGAAAAAGAAAGTAAAAATTGTGATCAATACTATAACAAGCAAAGGGAAATACATGTTCAGAATTTCATTTGGAAGTTAAGCAGAAATCAGTTTTACTTGTATATTACAAAGGCATTAATTACAGTTCCTTGGATACTAATAATATAACAGTTTGTAAACAAAAATTCGATAAAAAAATCAACACCAATAAGTTGGCAACTGAAGAGCGAAGAAACATTGTGCAATTTATAGGCATACCCTTTCTCTTAGGAGAAGTCCAGTCAACTAATGAACAAGATGTTACTGATTCTGTATATACAAATATTATTCTTTTATTGTTTTTTAAGGCTTTTTTACACTGGCAATAAGTAGAGAATCCTCCTCTGTGATTAGAATTATACTTGCTATTACTTCCTGTCTACCTGGAATTCTTGGTATAATACTTCATGGAAGAGGCTTTAAAGTCCATCTAGTTCCAACCCCCCTGCCATGGAATGAGACATCTTCCACTAGACCAGGTTGCTCAGAGCTTCATCCAGCCTGGCCTTGAACACTTGTCATGTGCTAATTCCTTAATGTGCTGTAGTTGGGGTTTTTTTTCATTGTATGTTTCTACAGGGCATCATAACAAACATCCTGGGGTTTTATAGGTCAAGATATTTGTCCATTGGCTGGTGATTTCTCTGGTCTCTTATCAGGTGCTCTCCTTCCTAGAAAGCCACTGGCATCAAAGGGTGGGTCAGACGTGTTGCTTTGACAGTAGTCTCCTGTTTGTGGCCATTTTCTTTTCCAAGGGCTTTGTGGTTTCTCCTCATCTTTTGATGGTCTATCATGTGGTAAAAGAAAAGCTATGGAAAAGTTCTTCAAAGGAAAGTTGGCAACCAGGAGTGAGTCTGCTACAGCTGGAACAATTCATCCTGATCCTTGTCCAGATCCACATTAATTGCTCCAGTGGTTGCAGCCTTGTTGCCAGCTTCGTCCTTCCCAGGAGGTCCTCAGGCACTGGGGCACAGACAGGATGTCTGCATGGTCTTTATGTCTTTCTTTGTTGCAGTTGACTTTTGGGTGTGTAGTAGACCCAACACTTTCCCAGAAAGAATCTTGACTCTGTGTGTGGATGTGCAGTTGCTGTCATAGTAGGCATGGACAAGATCCAGAGAAGGAATTGCAAAATGTGCTTTACTTGAGCCCCTCAAAAAAAAATAGGTCAAACTCCCAGCAGGCCACTCCTGGTGCAGAATTTAATTTTGCTTTCACTAAAACAGAAAACATGCCAAAACAATGAAGAGATTATAAAGAAAGGGAAAATAAAACTTTAATTATTACTTAAGTACTCAGAAGATAGGATAAGACAATTCATTAGTCATACACAAGAATCTCACTCTCTCTTGAACTGAAAAACTTGGTTTCCTTATTATATTTCCATAATATAGAATCATAGAATGGCTTAGGTTGGAAGATACTTTAAAGTCCAACTAGTTCCAACCCTCTTTCTGTGGGAAGAGAGGTCTTCCACTAGACCAGGCTGCTCAGAACTTCATCCAGCCTGGCCTTGGACACTTCAAATGATGGCTAATTCCTTAATATAGTGTAGTTGGGTTTTTTCCTTGTATGTTTAAATAATTGCTTCTAGCATCAGGTGGTAGAAGCTAAATAGGAATTTAGCACATTTCAATTCAGCATATTGCATATGGTGGATGGGAGGAGCAAAATAAATCGTATGAAAAGTTACTTTACAAGCTGACTTTAATGGATGGTCAGTGTTGCTGTGCTTATAAGTCACAGTGTGGGTGTGTAAGCACTTTCAGCTAGTGCACAACCTTTATTTAAAATATTTGATATCATTTTGAATAGAAGAGAATAGAATAGAATAGACTGTTTCAGTTGAAAGGGATCTGCAACAGCAGTGACCAGTTCATGAGTGAAAAAATGATAAAGCATGTTCTTAAAGGCATTGTTCAAATGCCTGTTCAAATGCCACTGACAGGCTTGGGATACACCGACCACCTCTCTAGGAAACCAGCTCCAGTGTTTGACCACCCTCTTGGTATAGATCTCGTCTGGTTGGGAACTTAAGGGCATATCATCAAAAGTAAAAATCTTGGAAAATTCTGCATATCCTGGGAGAACCTCACCACTGAATCAGCAGAGGCAGCCTGGTATTTCTGATGCTGTAACAATATCCATACAGACCAATCTCTGAGGTGGTAGAGAGCCCTGCTCATAAGAACATAATCATACAAATTCCACCCACAGACAAATTTTCTAAAGCATTTTAATGTTGAGCTGTTGTCATTAAGATTTGGGAGCCACGATATTGACATTTATGCCTGTTTGTGCTGGAGAGCTGTTAAAGGCAGGAACATAAAGTCCAGTGAACCATCACATGAAGTAATGGTTTATCTGTGTCACTACTTTTTTTAAGTAGAGCACAAGAGTACGGTTATTCTCTGTCATCCAGAAAAAGTTGTATAAAAATAGGAATGCTCATATTCATCGTTGGTTCTGTTACTTTACAATATCAAGATATTTTATACTGCTGTTCATAGTTGATCATTATATTAGCCAGTCTATGAGCAAAGAATTGTGCAGGCCCTTTATGTTATTTACATAATGTACTAGGTATGAATAGCACTATTTTCCTTAGGATAAATAAGGGTGAAATAGCAGTAGAGCACTGAACCAAGGTAAATGAGCATTTTTAAGTGATTTTAGACAGAATATCATAGTACAATAATTTTCTTTAAAAAAACAAACATAACAAAAATCTTCAACAATTACTTAGATTTATTAGTTTTTATAAGGCAATGAGTAACCTATTCACTACTGTCTCATTCATCAAGTGAGTTCTTCCGGAAAAGGCATCTTGTCAGGTGCTGCAGAAAAAGCTCTGAGCAGTATCAGTATTGTTAATGCCTCAAATAATGACTGCAAAGATTGTAAAATAATACATTGTTATCTAGCAAGCATTGCTCATAATTATATCACTGATAAAGGCAAAGCATATAAAATGTTGTGTTTTAAATATGTCCTTTAATTAGAATAAAAATGCCATGGAAATAATTTCAGTGGTAGTTGTGTGATTCTTCTGAATGCACATTGTAAAATTTTTGCATATATTTAGGATGAAAGGAGTTATCACTCTAAGCTATTCACTTATAAATTTTCATTTAATACTCATGGTATATCAGACATTATAGATCGTTCACCATTTTGCTTTATGACAGAGCGGAAAGAACCCTGATAACTATGCTGTGTCTAAAATGTAGTTCACTCCTTTACCTGCCTGCTTGGACTGAACTGCAGAATCTTAATTTGCTGTCATGGTTTCCATGATCCTTTGCTCATGTCACAATTGTTGTTACAATAAACACATTGCATGTACAGCATAGCCTTCATCTTCTCAAGGCAAAGCACAGACCCTTTCATCCTTGCAAAATGAATAATTAAATGAGGATTTTAATATTTCTGCTTGCTTTTGGGTTTATTAGCTCTAACTATGAAAGCTAAATCAATTATTTTGTATGTTCCATCTGACTAACTCTTGAAAAAATAGACTGGTGTTTTCCATTTATCTGTTGTGGCTTTAAGCTATCTTAAAATAGCACTATTGAAGAAATGGACTCTGCCGATTGAATAAGTGACTTTCTTATTATTACAAGTTTCGGGTTTGCATAAGGACCAGAAGTGTAAAGCAAAATCCGGGAAGATGTTTGTCACTGATAAGGTCCTATGGCAATATAAGTCTTCTGCTGTACCTGCCTCACTTGGATTTGGGCATTTTTGTTTCTGCAGAGCCCAGAGGAAGGAGCCTCTACAACCATCTATGCAGCAGTGTCGCCCGAGCTGGAAGGAGCTGGTGGCTGCTACCTTTACAATGAGGAAAGGACAAAATCGGCTGACGTGGCATATGATGAGGAGCTGCAGAGAAGGCTCTGGACAGAAAGCTGCAAGATGGTTGGGATTTCTGATGAAGCCAGCAGGCTTCACTAGAAGAAGCCACTTTCAGCTGGGTAAATGAAATGCATTGAAAAGCATCTTAGGTGAATTCTTGCAGCATCAGTCATCATCCTGGAAATCACTGTTCAGTCCCAAAGGCAAACATGAACAGCTCTGTTCTTCACTTGAATCCCTAATCTGCTAGGGTGTGGGGGGAATATTCCCACAGAAAGGTGTAGTGGTTGGTTTTAAATCTAACCATCAGTTTTGTAAATCATTCTGTTTCAGTCTGTGATTAAAATACAATCTTTAAACATGTGCAGAGATGAGTTTTCATTGTTTTGTTCAAAAAAAAAAAATAATGCTTGAGCATGTTGTGCTGGGAGGCTTTTGAATTTAAATCACCTTTGTACATATAAGTTACTTTTTTAAATCAGTTTTAAAAGTTGCAGCTTTATTTCCTTAAGCATCATTAATCTTTAAGACACTTTCATCAGCTTGTTCTAATGTAGAAATTTGGCATTCATGATCATGATGTCGTTCTGTCTTAAGGTTGCTTTTATATGTCAGCTTTTATCCAAAGGTATTAACTGAAGGTCAGAACAAGAAGAAAAAGTAAATAAATAAGGTCTTCTTCAAACAGGATACTGAATTAACTTTTTTCCAGTTTAAGTTCATCTCTCCTATAAAGGTGAGGAAGGGATCAAACATCATCATGGTAACACTGGCTTTGGCAGAGGATGCAGTCAGCCTATTGTCTTGTCAGTGGGCTGAGATTTACTTGTCCCCTTTTCTCCTGAACACCTGTAATGTTGCATCTGCAGTTTCATTAATTTTCTTTGACAAGGAGAGTCACTCATGTACTGTTGCATGAAGAATCATCTCCTTTAGTTGGTTTTGATCCTAGCTCATATTAGTTTCAGAACTAGAGTTCATGGTTTGGAAGAGACAGCAATTAATGCCAGCCCACTTTTTCCTCTTTCTGAAGATGTACAATGCATCCTCTCTAAACTGTGTCTTTGCCAATTTTAAGAGTAGCCCCTGCCTACTCATCCAACTTTCATAGGAGCAAGAAGGTATTTTCCCATTAGTTGTGTAAGTCTTTCCTAAAATTTCCTAGGACCTGTTTTATTTTTAATTTTATTTGACTATCTCGTATTTGAGTGTGGAGCTGATATATTTTATGAAGGTATTTTCAGCCAACACTAGGGTTTCCCCCCTCAGTGGGACAGCATTTTGTTCAGATGCTATCAGTTTTGAACACACTTTGGCTGTATATAGTTCAGGGAACTCCACCTATGTCTACCAAAGAGAATCTTTAAGAATGATGTTCACATTCATGGAGTAAGAAACTAAACAGACAATGGGAAGTACAAAGATAGCTTGAATTTATACAAGCTCAAATAAGTAGAAGAAAAAACTGGATTGAATATGGAAATATTTTAATGGAAATGGTGGTAAACCATGAGAATACTTCCCTGGACAGTTTCAGTCAAGATTTTAAATCTCACAAAATCATCTGGAGTGTCTGGGGAGACCTAACAGCAGCCTTAAGGTACTTATAAGGGAATACAGGAAAGATGGGCAGGATGGGCTTGGGCAGTGTAGTGATAGAATGAGGGGTAATGGCTCTAAACTGAAAGAGAGAAGATTTAGGTAATACATTAGAAAGAAATACTTCATTGTCAGGGTGCTGAAGCACTGGGACAGGTTGCCCACACTAACTGTGGGTGTCCCATCCATGGAAGTTTTCAAGATCAGGTTGGATGGAGCTTTGTCTAGTGAAAGGTGGCCCTGCCCATGGCAGGGGAGTTGGAAACAGATGATCTTTAAGGTCCATTCCGATCCAAACCATTCTGTGATTCTTTCATCTCTTCTCAGTGAGTCTTTCCAAACATGGGATGTGTGTCTAGGGAGCTTGAGGTCTTATTGTTAATGGAGTAAGGTCTACCCTACTTCCATCTTGTTGATTTTAGGTGCCATCTAAAAGAGCCGCACAACCCTATAAATGTCCTTACATTTCCTTTTTTCCAAATACACAGGGAAAGAGACTAATATGTGGGCATAAGGCTTATATTCATTTTGAGGAGCTGAAGATTACTGCATGACAGAACCAAGTGCAAACACAGCATTGTGCTCTCATTTGCAGCAGACTAGAAACAGTAGGAACATGTTCCTGTGCACTGAACCCTGGACTAATATCCCTTTTGGGCTTTTTAGCTCAAACTTAGTACTTCACTCCAAGTGACCTTATCTCTAGCCTTTGGTTCAGAGGAAGATCACATCTGAGTGAAAGTAAACATGCTTATATGTCCAGAGTCTAGGAAGAAGATGCACTGATGAAAAAAAAAATAAAAACCAGTATGAACATAGAAGAGCATCTGGGAAAAAAAATAATAAACAAATTGAGGGAGAGTATATTTCCTGTCTGAATTAAGCCATGGATGATCTATTTTTATCTTCTTAGAGTTGGTATATACAAGGGTTAGCAGCAGGAGATTTATCACTCAGTCACTATAGCACTTTCTCTGTATGACTGGCTGACTTTTTTTTGGTAAGTGAATGTAGTGCTAGTGAAATGTGCCAGACTGACACTCCAGGAACTAAATTCCTCTGTTTATTCACGGATCATGCACAGGATGCAGTAAGCCTGCTAGACAGCCAACATTTTGATGTTGCCATAGCATTCCCATGGAACATCATTGCTGCTAACAGTGTGTCCAGGATTACTCAAACTAGATGGGATGAGATTATCATCAGTTTTAACTCTCTTGAAGCTCCACAATATTTGCCCAACCAATTTCAAGTGACATAGGGATTAGTGAATTAACAAAGAGTAAAGAGAGCTAGTCATACTTGCAGTGTAATCGGAACCAATTTATTAACTGCCTCAGTCCAATGAAATCTGTTTTAAACACAGAAAACATGGTTTGTGAGAATCAAGAACACAGATGTGGCTGAGTGAGAGGAAAAAAAGAGTCCTAAGGCCAGGGATTTCTAGAGCATTGCAGTTCATGAAAATACAGTTGAGCTAGTTGCAAAACTGTTGTCTCAGGAACTAAGGGCAGAAAACTGTGTCAGCTTTGCAGTGTCACACAAGCGCACGTGAGCTTATCTGGGGCAAAACCCAGTGTTGTTATAAAATACTCCCAGTGTGAATGAGAATAATCACTCGTGATACTGCTGCAAAAATCCAAAATAGTTCTTAACATATCTATCTAGGGGAAAATACATGAAACATGTAAAAAGATGACAATGGTTTTACTTTTGCACAGATAAACGGTTAGAGCTGATTTAATTTCACATTTCAAGGTCATGGGATTTACAGAGATCTGGGCAAGGCTGTATTTCACGTCAATGAATATATGGTTGAGAAGTGGCTTTGCAGTGGGTACATAAGTGTAGAAAAAAATACCTGAGAGCTCTTTAACCTTGCAAAGAAATGCTAAACAAGTCCCAGTAATGGTAAATTGAAAGTAAACAAATTAACCTTCCAACATGAAAGCAGATCCTCTCTGAGAGTGATTTCCTATCAGAACATGTAGATCTGATATCTGAAGATAATTAAAAGATGCCTCTGAAATGACACCTGGCAAATAGGCCAGGTATACTCCTAAAAAATGTAGGTCAGTCACAGTGAAGCCATACTTAGATTCTCCCTCACGTCCACAAGACAGCACTTATTTTGATTAGTATGAGAGTGACCCATTGCTCACAACTTCTACAATGGATATTTCCCTGCCAGTACTCCTCCCAGGCTAATATTTGGTTCAGAAATTGAAGTCCCTCTACCTTGGCACACAAAATCTATTGTCCAGTTCAAGTCTGAGATAAACAGAAGCATCCACTAACTACCAAGGTGATCTGAGCCTACTGCCTTTGGTAACAGAGTAAAAACAATGTCAAATCAATTTTTTTTTCTCTTAAAAAAGGATTACAAATTTAAAAGTAAGAAAAAAATATCTCTGCAAAAGGACCAAAAAAAGATGATTCCTGTTATGAGGGGTAGTTCAAATATAGATCTCACAGGAATGAATGGATTTTATGGGAATGAATACAGTTGTCTAGTAATTTGATAAGGCAATGTTATTTAAACAATGAAGTTGTACAGGAAATAAATAACATGCTGAAAAAAGCACTCTAAGGTTCTTATTAAAAAAAAAAAATAATTTCCTCAATAATTAACTACTTTATTTGTCAGCTGTGGGGAAATTATTTATAAACTGAAAAGGTAAGTGCTATAATTTTTTGTGTGAATACACTGTTATTTGCACATAATGAAGTAGCTACATTCTTGTTTCCAGTTTTATACTGACTTTAAGAGCTAGATATGGAGCCACCAGCCACACTTCCAAAAAGGTATTTTATAAATATTTAGACTTCATAGTTGACTCTTTACACAACTATGAATTACTTTAGCACACAGTGAGAATTGATATTGTAGAAACAAAGGACTTTTTTATTTAACATCAGGTTTGCTGCCACCTCTTCCAAATGCACAGCAGTGTTAACTCTAAATATAACAACACATGGCATATATTTAAATGTTCATCCTTATAATAAGGATGAAAATAAATTTTCTACATACTGGCTCTTGTTCAGTTCTGGTGTTAGGCTACCCTTGCTTGTTCTATGACATGGTTTCCACTTCAGCTGCCACCATGGAAAGACAAAAATCAGATTCCAGTGAAACTAACATGAAATTTGCCACAGAAAAGACAGAACTCCCATGATTTTAAGAGGGTGAGGCTGAGTATACTTACCCATCCGCAACAACTGAGGAAGTCAGTGCAAAACACATATTGTACAGCATCAGGCCAGGCAAGATGGGCAAGCCACAAACAATTCTTTGAAGGTAATTTTATTCCTTTTTAAAACAAATGTACTGCGCTTTGGCAATTTACTGCGGCAACACTGAAGGAAAGTAGCAAGAACAAAACAGACCAGTGTCCAAGAGTGCTGTTTCCAAATACATATAGTTATTGGCTTCCATACTGTACCAACCCTTGTTGGCTTCTCTCCCTTTGGAAATGGGCCTTAGCCAAGAATTCCTTTCACACAGGCAAGAAAGAAGAGTCAAAATGCAGCACTGACTCATTTATTTAGACAAACTGTCTAGATTGAAACCAATCATTTTAAAGTACATGATTTCCTAATTTTGGAAAGGAAAAAGTAAACAAAAAAAAAAAAGAGCAAAAAACCAGGCTATGACACTTTTTGAGTGCTATTAAACCTTGCCACCTCCTCACAGTCAGAATGCAAGACACTTTAAGATGGTAAGCTGCCCCTAGTGTTCTTTCCAAAGAATACAGATAAACAAAC